AATTGAGAGTTGTGACTTGATCAATCCATGACACACTTGGCTCTGGGGCCTACACAGACATATGCTAGCATTGCAACTGGAATCAATTCTTGCTCCAGTGGCACTATTCTCTTTTCAGCATGGGCAGCTGTACAACATTCTGCATCTCCTGTCCAAGAAGAAAGAAAAAGGTGAACATGCAAGACTGCTATCTTGACACAGATACCAAATATCTATCACTTGGCCAAAGGAGGAAGAAAACCAAATTTTCAGCTTTTTCAGCATATATTTATGAAGAATTTTTTTTACCAAACTTTTCATTGCTTTTCCTAAAAAAACCCCCCAGAATCTCAAAATTAGTGCACAAGTGTAAGGTAGTAGAAGAAATATTTGGACTTAGTAAAGCATTTAACACTGTCTTACATACATCACTTCAAAATTAATTCACATTGGCTTTGAGTGGAACACTGCCTTGTGTACTGAAAACAGGCTGAAGGGCCATAAACAAAGGCTAATGATAACAATGTATCAAGTAGCAAAAAGTTGAGATAGGATGGTACACAACTAGGATTAATGAGATGAAATTGAAAAGGAGAAGAATGAGGCTGAATATCGGAAAAATCTAAATGACAACAAAATAGCCCTGAAATGGTAGAAACTCTCTCACTTGGAATACTTAGAACAGTAGAAAATACTGGAAAATATTCTGTAAAAGAGCATTCTGCATTTGTGGAGAGATGGACTGTAAGATCTAATAAGTCTTTAATAAGTTCCTTCTACGGTTGTATGAAAATGGCTAGGGTTATTCCATTTTATTTGGAAACCGTCCATAACTCTGGTATATCTAAAGTAAGTGGACACCGTTCTTCCTCTAGAAAGGTTGGCGCCTCTTGTTTTGATGGATCCTTATTAAGTAGGTGAGAGGGACATCTGGCAACATGAAGCTACCATCCAAGCAATCTGCAAAAGGGCAGAAGTAGTTGGAACACAGGGACACTGCTGACTTTCTGCTGCACTCACCATGAAAACCTGGTAGAGGCTACAATGGCCAGAGAAGAGTGATAGGACATGTGTTTTGGCACCCCTTCTCTTTGATTGTAACATTAAGATGACTGTTTACCAGTCTTCAAAGCTTACACTGTGCATTGGGGACTACTAATCATTATTGCCAAGTATTAGTTGATACACAAAATGATTTGTGAGGTGGAAGAAGGCTCCCTTCCAAAAAAATACAAACAAAAAAACCAAAACAATATTTTTTTAAATCAGTCCATCAGTGAGCTAGTTATTATGGTCTTTAATGTCCATGTTGCAACAATAAGAGCAGCGGTCACTGAGATAGATGTCCGCTGCCAATATCTAGGAATCAATGGGAACGATAGCAGAAGCACAAGGGCCTGCTGTGTGATGGCAAAGTTAAGAAAACTAAAGCCACTCTTGTTCCCTAGCATGTGTCATGGGAGGGGATCCGGTGGGGAAAAACAGGATGCGATCATTTAATTACAGGCTGTATCATAATGCATATGCATAGTGGTCTGGATTAAGATTGGATGATCAACCTTAATTGTAGCATTTCAAAACATTTGAGTGCTTGACTTTGCACTTTTACTATGCTCTTATTGTAATTTGTGTGTGTAATGTTTTTATTTAGGTGGTGATAAAGGAAACGGAGAAACAGATACAGGAAGAAAATTATGCTCTTACCTGGGAAATATCACTATTAATTCAGACTGCTTCCTTTTTGGGCCAGTGTAGGCATAGTGTGTATCTACAGAATTCTTGATGGCTGTAGTAGCTGTTTATATATGATGGGATTGCATGTTTTCCCTAAAATGGAGGATTAGCTGATCATGGACATAATTTTAGAAAAAAGCAAGAGAGAGTCCTGTGGCACCTTTAAGACTAACAGATGTATTTGAGCATAAGCTTTCGTGGGTGAATACCCACTTCGTCAGACGCATGTAATGGAAATTTCCAGAGGCAGGTATAAATATGCAGGCAAGAATCAGTCTGGAGATAACGACGTTAGTTCAATCAGGGAGGGTGAGGTCCTCTGCTAGCAGTTGAGGTGTGAACACCAAGGGAGGAGAAACTGCTTTTGTAGTTGGCTAGCCATTCACAGTCTTTGTTTAATCCTGATCTGATGGTGTCAAATTTGCAAATGAACTTAAGCTCAGCAGTTTCTCTTTGGAGTCTGGTCCTGAAGTTTTTTTGCTGTAAGATGGCTACCTTTACATCTGCTATTGTGTGGCCAGGGAGGTTGAAGTGTTCTCCTACAGGTTTTTGTATAATTTTAGAAGGGATTCAGTGGAGACACAAGTGGATCCTTGAGATTCTGAAGTCAACAGAATTCATGAGAAAAACTACCTGGAGTCCCCACCTTGTTCCTTATTACAATTGGAGTACGTAATAGTGTCTTCTAGACACAGCTCATTTTAAAGTCTTCGTGTCCCAGACTAAGGTCTGGAACAATGGATGTATCAGAGAGAATTTGTCAGGTGGCTACTGTCAACAAGTTGAGAACATTGAGCCTGATGTCTTTAGCACTGTTCATTACTCATGGCATGCCTTTTTATGATGCAGCCTCAGTGGATCCCCAAAAGGCTCAACATATGGCTCCATGTCTAGTTAGCAGCTGGTATAAAGTGGAGTGCCCCAAGGGTCGGTCCTGGGGCCGGCTTTGTTCAATATCTTCATTAATGATCTGGAGGATGGCATGGATTGCACCCTCAGCAAGTTTGCAGATAACACTAAACTGGGAGGAGTGGTAGATACGCTGGAAGGTAGGGATAGGATACAGAGGGACCTAGACAAATTAGAGGATTGGGCCAAAAGAAAGCTGATGAGGTTCAACAAGGACAAGTGCAGAGTCCTGCACTTAGGACGGAAGAATCCCATGCACTGCTACAGACTAGGGACTGAGTGGCTAGGCAGCAGTTCTGTAGAAAAGGACCTAGGGGTTACAGTGGACAAGAAGCTGGATATGAGTCAACAGTGTGCCCTTGTTGCCAAGAAGGCTAACGGCATATTGGGCTGCATTAGTAGGAGCATTGCCAGCAGATAGAGGGACATGATCATTCCCCTCTATTCGACATTGGTGAGGCCTCATCTGGAGTACTGTGTCCAGTTTTGGGCCCCACACTACAAGAAGGATGTGGAAAAATTGGAAAGAGGCCAGTGGAGGGCAACAAAAATGATTAGGGGGCTGGAGCACATGACTTATGAGGAGAGGCTGAGGGAACTGGGATTATTTAGTCTGCAGAAGACAAGAATGAGGGGGGATTTGATAGCTGCTTTCAACTACCTGAAAGGGGGTTCCAAAGAGGATGGATCTAGACTGTTCTCAGGGGTGTACCAGATGGCAGAACAAGGTGTAATGGTCTCAAGTTGCAGTGAGGGAGGTTTAGGTTGGATATTAGGAAAAACTTTTTCACTAGGAGGGTGGTGAAGCACTGGAATGGGTTACCTAGGGAGGTGGTGGAATCTCCTTCCTTAGAGGTTTTTAAGGTCAGGCTTGACAAAGCCCTGGCTGGGATGATTTTGTTGGGGATTGGTCCTGCTTTGAGCAGGGGGTTGGACTAGATGGCCTCCTGAGGTCCCTTCCAACCCTGATATTCTATGATTCTATGTGATTTAAAGACAACAGTGATGCTATGGCTTTAGTAGCTGTGTATTCGAAAACGGACTAAACAAGTAATTATGGAAATAACTGCATGTTACCCAGAGTTCTGGAGCATTCATTCCTGCTATCTAGGAGGATCTATGGGATTTAACAGGGGAGACTTTGTGAGGAGGATAGTAAATGTGACTAAGTTCACAATTTAGAATATTTTGGCTCTCTCTGTAGCTTCTACTGACTGTGGAAGGTTGGCTGTTTAAAAAAAAAAAATCGGACAGGTCTGGTCAGGACCATAAGACCTTTTGGCTGCAGAATACCGAACTACCTCCATCTTTCCAATACTGAAGTAATTACTGGGGCTTAGGGGTGGACAAATCCTGTGAGGCAGGCTGTGTCTCCAATGATTTTCTTCTGGTCTGAAGCTTCCTCTGAATCCTCCTTGAAAGCCCACCTCTACAAAATAAATAAATAAAAGAGGCAAAAGACAGTAAAGACTGCAACCATATCATTTCTGTGTGTTTTGTTCAGTATGGCCACTAACTGAGGATTGAAGGAGCCGACCAGTAGACTGAGGGGAATCAAAGCTAACACTTTTACCTGGTTTGAAATATGCTACCCACACTTCCCCTAAGGCTCATCAAGCCAGCTCTGTGACTGGGAGGCCTGGGTGCTTCCTAAGTCAGAAATCTGGCAGACCTGCCTTCTGTTCTAATGCATGGGCAAGATTAGCCCTGAAGAGCCCTCTCTGGTCAGATTGTTCACAATGAATGATCAAACTCCACACTGAACAAATTGATCTCTCAGTCTTTAGGGTCAGCCTGTGCATATGAAACTTTTTTTTTATCCTTTCAAGAATCTTTTTCTCTCCTATCAAAACACAGATTTAAAAAGAGCATACTGCTGTTTCCAGGCTCTTTGAAGCAGGGAAAAACTGCACAGTACAAGTGCGTTTGGAGCTGGCCAGAAAGTGCCTTATCTCTCAGCAGTGATTGGCTCTGCTGACTGTAATACTAACTGAAAGGAGAGCCCAGATGGCATGAACTGGTCTTTTGGAAGTGAAGAATTTGAAATAGTATTCCTTATCATTTGAGTAATTGTTAGTCATTTATAGAATAGCATACAAACCAATGATGTTGCTCCCCATATTTATTTCCTGTTCTTGTGTGTAACAGAAATATAGTGTTTAGCTGATATTAGTGTGAAAAGTATGCTTCATCAAAATACATTTTTGAAGGAAGCTGTTTTTTAATTAAGCCATAAAGAGGAAATCTCATTTCAAAAAAGTTGTTTTAACTGACAATGTTTTTATGCATTGGTGCAATATTATTTTTTAATCTTACATTTGTTAGTTTGTATATATAATGTTTCTAATTTGTTTCTGTGCAAAATTGCTGTCTAGAAGAAACAAACAAATCTACTAAGGAAGATTTAAGGCCCGTGCATCCTCTACTAAGAGTGATAGAACCTCCTCCACAGCCTTCTGAACCTACCAAAGTGAAAGAAGAAATTAAGAAAAAGAGAACTGGAAATTGTTCAGAGAATGCAACAAGAGAAGCTGGGCCTGAGGGATTTGTAAGTAACAGGTTTATTCCACTTAATTTGAATAAGATATCATACAGCTAAGGTATTTGAATAATTATTATACAACCAATACATATTTTCATGTTGTTAGAACATTTTACTGGCTAGAATTCTCTTATGTTAAGTATCAGTATGCAAGTAATTTTTCAGTGTATCCAATGATCTAATTTGCAGAAAGCTACAATTCAGTATAAACTGGACCCTGAGATCCCAACCTTGGAATAGAATTCATTTTCCAGGAGTTTATTGCCATTCTTCTAACAATTTCTTAGTAGCATCTGTGTGTATGATGTAATATGGACAACTGAGTTAAGCACCTTAACTCAAATTCATTAGTTTTGTTAGACCGGTAATTCTAGAGCCAAGTATCTAGGTATGAGTTAGGTGAACTCCATATCCCTTCATTTATAAATACATAACTGGTACACTCTGAAATGAGTTTTCTAGTAAATTTGCCTTTTAAACAATTCCAGAATTTATCAGAGCTTGAACCGCACCACCTCAGACAACGAGAAGACTATTTAAAACAGAAGCGAGATACATTGATGGCTATGAAGAAGGAGTCAAGAAATAATCTACCAACACCAAATATAGATCAGAAAGAAGAGGCATTATCTTCTAAAGAGGTGAAGGATTAACACTTTAATCAGCATGACTAATTTTGTTTAGAAAAATCACAGACTACTTCAATGAAGATATGGATATTGCAGCTGAATATTAAAACAGGACAAAAGAACAAGGAAAAAGTGGTAGAATATAATGGCAGAACAAACTCAGTTACAAGTTATTCATTGTGCAGAAATTAATTCTGCAATCTAAAATCAGTATAGCTAAGAAGCAGAAAGCTTAGTGATTGTGAGCATTAAATGCTTTTTCTACAGTGGTAAATCTTCATAATAAACCCATGCTCTGTGTTTTTGCACATATTGTTAAACTGCTTCATTGCATGACAGTTTGCTCCTATCTGCTAGTGAGATGTGATTTTGCATACTGGTTCCCTGAAATGTTAGCTCCTTTTTTGCTAACGCACGCAGAAAAACAACGTTCATGGTCAACACCGCTAGCTTGAATTTTCTGAGAAGTGTTATTTTACAAAAGGGTTAAGTTTGATAACTTCCTTTCTTTTGAGACTTTGTAAAGTGTTTTTCTTGTATTTCAAGTGAGGAAATGCCCTATAGCCTCAGCTACTGGTGGAGGAGGCAGCAGTATTAAGGCAAGGAGGCCTGAAGTTTGGGTGCTACTACCATCTTTTTGCCTTGCACAAAATCTAGGCTTTTGTGCTGAAAGCAATCTTCCTGTGAGAGAGTTAGGACGATGGAAAAGCAAAATGATCTCTTCATAACTGGCATATTCTTGATGGCTCTAATCTCTCCTGTCAATAGACAGTTGTAGTGGTGACCTGGAAAATTCACTACTGTAGCCTATCATTCTCTTGAAGAGGCAGGAATAGGTGTGCATTACCCATTTAGCACAATACAAAGTAGACCAAACTGCCTATGAATAGCAACATCACCATCCAAGAGAACAAATGTTTCCTTTGTGATTTTTTTAAAATTTAAAATACAGACAAGACCAGTTGGTCCCTTATGAAGGGGGAATGAGTACTGTGAGTTTGAAGGGAGATTAAGATGCCAGAACACTTGTTTTTGCTGTTTGCTGCTGTGTCCAAGCAGAGAAGGATTGAAACCTTAATTTCTGGATTAGGGATTTTAAATTTACATAAATTAAACCTCAGGCTTCCTTCCTAGGGCATCTGATCCATAAGTATTCAGCAATGAGTTCCATGAGATTTTTAAAAATTACTTAGTTCTGTAAGTAAGAACAGCATCAGATGTACACTACCTCTGATAAAATAAATTATCAGTTATTATTAGCTGGGGTCACTCCCTGCTGTGTGGTAAAATTAGCACACTTAGAGTATATCTACACTGCAATTAGACACCCCTTAGCCCAAACCCTGAGAGCCTGAGTCAAGTGGCATGGGCCAACCAGGGCTTTATATTCGCAGTGTAGGTGATAATATATTGCATTAGCTTTTGTCTTCTTCTGCAGCAATTGTTAATGGCCATTTTCAGACAGGAAACTGGCCTAAAAGGACCACATGTCCATTCTGGTACAGCAATTCCTATATTTCTAAGCCATTTACTTCATCCTGTCATAATCAGATACTAGAAGTTGCCTTGCAAAAAGAGATCTGTGTCCCACTTGAATGCACACAACCTGAGTTATTTAGTGGTGTAAGGATGGTTGAAAGAAGGAAATCACTGCAGTGTGATTCAGCAGAGACTTAAGGATAAAGTTTAGAAAACTCCTAAAAGTAGGTCAGAGAAGTTAATCTGATGAGACCAATGATGCCTGACATCAAAACAGCATGCCTCCCCCCTTACACGTAAGCATTGAAGCTCACAGTTCAATAAACAAGATGGAATTCAGTACTCTCTGTACAGCTTCTTGATTAGACATATTGGTGGGAGTTAAAGAATCCATAACCATGTTTATTCCTAAGCTAGGACCATAGTATTGGTCAGTGTGTGCTGTATTTCTAAGTTTGTCGATAGAAGACCATTTGAAAGCAATCTGCCCCATTTGTTTCTCTAACTTTTTGGAAACACAACCCCTGAAGAGCAGAAAGCAGGAAAACTTTTTTCCTCTAATTGGAACTGGTGACAGGATCTAGTGAACCTGGTGTGGACCCCATCCTCCAAGACAAGAGCAAGCACTGTAAGTCTGTGTAGTTCTTTGAGAAAACTCAAAGACAATATCCTTGCAGTGTTACAATAGAATCTAATTTAAGATTATACAATACTCCAGGCAATGACTCAGGTGCAGGGAGGTGGAGATGAGCTCAGCGTGGGAAGGTTTCAAGAAGTAAGCTAAGGAATTTATAGGTGGACCTAGAATAAAATGGAAGCATTTCCCCTATATAAGTGGTTACTGAACAAGAGGCCTGATGCCTTGCTTTCCCTCCCTCTTGCTAGACATACCCTACCAGAACAAGAAACTGGAATTAAAAAAGGGTATTGGAGCCAGGATCAGGCCCAAAATATATAGAGGAAATTTGGTCAAAAATTAAAGTCAGAAAAAACATTTCCAACCTACTTTTCTGTTAGTTCATCTTTAGGGTTTAGTATATTGGCATTTGTCATACAAATGGAAGATTTGATCTGCAATGACGTGACAAGCACGAAAAAATATTTTGATGACTGTCTTCCCTGTCAGAGGAGGTCAGGGAAATTCTAATTCTTATCAAAGGGCACTTTTGAAAAAAATGTGTGACATTAATGGAAATTACATCTTGATGGGGGAAACTGTAAATATATATGTGTAGCTAAGCTCCAGTATGCAGCCTACAGCTCTGAAAGGTGACCTTCAAAACTGAGTTTGTCATTTTTTCCCAACTTATGAGACTTGTGGTCCATGAAGATTCACTTTTGCTGTATTTATTCTTGGCAGTGCTTATTTATTTTTAAATTTAAACTATTGGCTGACTTCTCATGGGAAAACCTCTCTGAGAGGGACTTAAGCTTTGCTTCATGCTGATATCACTACTATTTACATATGAAGCACATACAAACTACAGTGCCTGCTCTGCTAACTCATTAACTGACTAAAAGTAAAGCTGTTATATTTTCGTACATGGGAGGGAAACATGCCCTCCACCCAGACCCCCACTCCAAGAGCAGTTTAGAGTAATGTGTGGTACTAGGTCACAGAAAATGAATTTATATGGGCTTTTGAGATCAAAGATGTGTTTCCAAAAGACAAACTTCAGGGAAAAATAAGACATAAAAGTTGTTAAACATATTGAGAGGACTTAAACATATGCTAATGTGGTCTAATAGAAACATAAGATTTGCAAGGCCACATGAAGGGAAAATATGGGAAACAATGCAGATCTAAATAAAGCAGTACTGTATGACCTTATACAGCAACTGTGCCAGAGATTGACGAATCAATACTATGGGGCTCATGCAGAATTGAGCCCAATGAGATATTGTTGGAGTGGTACATAACCAACTTTGGAGAGTGTCTGTGAAAGAAAACAGTACCTCCCCCCACTCACCCACCCTCCACTAGACTTCTTTGCCAAAGATAATACCATAGTCACTAAAAGATTTTGGGAAGTTCTCTCTTAGCAGGATTTAAATGCTAGTGTAGTCATAAAAGCATCATGGTGTTCTCTGAATCACTTCCATGTTAAACTTAATGTTAGAAAAATTTTCTAAAAAAGGCAAGTACTGCAAACACCACCTCTAATTGTAAACTCAGGACAGGTTTTGCTACTAGTCTCTTGTATCACACCAGTAATATAGACTCTGCAATAAGAATTTCAATGACAATTGCACTGATTTCTGAGAGTACAATTCACCTAACACTTCTGTAGCAGTATTGGCTCTGTGGTGCTAAGCACAGAGATAACTTGTGTCAGACATGGTAAGGTACCATTACAACACAATGACTTGTCAGGATTACAAGCTGATTTAACTGATAGTAAAGGAAGTCATCATAACAACTTGCTGCAGATCAAAGTAAATAGGGGGTATAAGTCAGCTTTCTTATAAAGACCTTTCTAAATTCTTTTAATTTAAAAAAAATTAATGAGAGTTTTATTATACTTGGAAGATTGGATTGCCTTGTCTCTCAGCTCTGCCCCTCTAAAGAGTTAAGGAGCAGCGCTGACTGACTTCAAAGGAAATCTAGGCCTCCTCCGGGAAGATTATTACATTACAGTAGGGGGAGGGCAGAGCCATACTTGCTCAGGGAAACAGAATACTCCTCCCCAAACTGTTAAAATACTTTTATATATTTGATAGAGAATAATGGGTTTGAGGGATCAGGTACCACAGCATGGCAAGGTCAGAATCACTAATATTCAGGGTCCAGCTCGTCTGATGCTAAGCCTCCAATGGTGATCAACACCAAATACTTCAGAGGAAGGAAGAGAGTATGCTGAATGTTTACACTATTAATGATTATTGTGATTTATGGGGAAGAGGGAGTTACTTTCTTCAGAGCTTAATATGGAATGTTATCAATATCATTGTCTTAAAAGAGTAAATATTGAGTTAAGCACACAGCTATGTGCCAGAAAGCCCCACTAAATAGCTGCTTGAGCTACTACAAACATTTGTTAGCCTTCAAGTCCCCCCACCCCAGACTCCTCCTGTTTGAAGAGATCACACAATGCATCATGTTGACATCAACACTGGTTACAGTGAATTAGCATTTAATGCTGTACAATGGGATAGCTTCAGCAAAGCTGGAGTTTCCAAGTTGACTTGAGGGAGGTGCAAAATAGCTTACAAATTATTAAATTATTTCAGTACCATAAGATCCCATATTCTGGTAATGTAAGAAGATATCTGCAGATGTGTACTAAAGACAATTTTTATTATTGCTTTGTAATTCACTTTTACATACCACTATGCTATACAAATTATGTTGGTCACAAAACTAACATGGTGTTAGGATCTGGCTGAGGAACATGGGGTGCATCATGCTCTCCTTTGTGCTTGGACAGTGTGTTGTCCCCAGGTGTAAATTACAGCAAGTATCATAGAAGATTAGAGTTGGAAGAGCCCTCAGGAGGTCATCTAGTCTAACCCCCTGCTCACAGCAGGACCAACCCCAACTAAATCATCCCAGCCAGGGCATTGTCAAGCTAGGCCTTAAAAACCTCTAAGAATGGAGATTCACCGCCTCCCTAGGTAACCCATTCCAGTGCTTCACCATTCCATTAGTGAAATAGTTTTTCCTGATATCCAACCTGGACCTCCCCCACTGCAACTTGAGACCATTGCTCCTTGTTCTGTCATCTGCCACCACTGAGAACAGCCGAGCTCCATCCTCTTTAGAACCCCCCTTCAGGTAGTTGAAGGCTACTAGCAACTCACTCTTCTCTAAACAAGCCCAGTTCCCTCAGCCACTCTTTGTAAATCATGTGCCCCAGCCCCTTTATTTTCATTGCCCTCTGCTAGACTCTCTCCAACTTCTCCGCATCCTTTCTGTAGTGGGGGCCCCAAAACTGGGCACAATACCCCAGATGTGGCCTCACCAGTGTCGAATAGAGGGGATCAATCACTTTCCTCAATCTGCTAGCAATGCTCCTACTAATGCAGCCCAATATGCCGTTAGTCTTCTTGGCAACAAGGGCACACTGCTGACTCATATTCAGCTTCTCATCCACTGTAATCCCCACGACCTTTTCTGCAGAACTGCTGCTTAGCCAGTCGGTCCCCAGCCTGTAGCAGTGCATGGGAGTCTTCCGTCCTAAGTGCACTTGTCCTTGTTGAACCTCATCCGATTTCTTTTGGCCCAACCCTCCAATTTGTCTAGGTCTACTGAACCTATACCATTGTTATCAGCCATCCTGAGCTTTGGGAAGCTGCCAAGATTGCAATTTTTGCAAGTAATTTCCCTTTCAATATTATTTAATTCTGAGTTCTAGAGAAAAATCTCTATTCATTGTTTATGGTCTGAATTGACTTATAAAGTTTCAGTAGATTTTTATTATTGGAAGTCAGAATTTTCTATGCAGTCAGAGAGGTTATACTGTAATGTAATAATTTTAATTTTGTTTTTAGGAAATGTCAGAAGAGGAGAAGCAAAGACTACTGCTAAAGAGGAGAATGCTTGCAGCAAAACTTAAAGAAGAAGTTATTAACAAGCGCTAAGTTTTAAGAATCTCATTGTAAAAATACCTGTGGACAAGAATTGAATTTCTTTTAGAATAAATTATTTAACCATAAACTGTTGATTTTCCACAAGACATGAGCAACTCATTTATTCATGTATCAGAGGGGTAGCCGTGTTAGTCTGAATCTGTAAAAAGCAACAGAGGGTCCTGTGGCACCTTTAAGACTAACAGAAGTATTGGGA